TGCTTTCCCATGCTCCTTTTCGATCGTGGCTTTGATGATCAGTAACCATTTGGAATGAATGGACTGCCAATTTTCAATTAGGTGTATCCTACCTAACTAAGATGATTTCACTTTTGAAGAAACGTTGAAGATATTTTACCCATACTACCTTCCGGGCATGCCATGGTTTTGCAAGCGAGTGACTAAACTAATCAAGGTTGATCTTAACAATCTAGAGTCTTTAGTCCTGTATGGTGCTTTATCCCGGCCTTTATACTATACCATTTATACGATACACCAGGACTCATAGCTTTGCTGCTGCTGCTGCGTCATACTTACAAAGTCGACTCAGCAATCTCTTTAAGGAGTTCCAGTAAAAATTTTGTACCACTTGTACCATTCAAGTCGTGTACAATCTTTAATACACAAATAGGAAGAAGAAGGAAGAAAGTAGAGATGGCAAGAAATACCATACCTGGAAAATAGTGTTTGTTAATTATGCTAAAATAGCAGCATTTGCTGGAATTTCGGTAAAAGGCGGTTGTATATCTATTCGTATATACATGTAATGGACTTTTCGTTTAGTCACTTAACCGGCTTCTACTGGGGACATATCGAAACAACCGTTGAACCGCCGTTTGCGGAGCCCTTTTTTACTACAGTTCAACGCGAGCGACATTGAAAATAGTACTAATAATTGAATAATATACATTTAATTATTTAGCAATAAAACCATTCAATTAACAAACCAATTGCTGTGAATGCAATTTGATATCCACAAAATCGAAGACTTTTGCCCTGGGAATAAACAATTTCAATAGATATAATAACAGATGCAATAATTTGAAGAAAATCTGACTTCTAACAAATTCAGTAATATACATTCGCTGATAATTCAAAGTTAATTCTTAAATTTATTTAAACTGCATAATATTTTTGAATGATCCTAGATATAACCATAATTTCAAAGACTAGAAATGATGAAAAGTTATAGTGCTTGAGAAGTAGGCCGTTATTACGCCGGGCGAAAGACACTTCACTAATAATTCGGAAAAATTAATTTCCAACCCTTCGAGTTTGTACTACCGCTGCTTAGAGTTTGAGTTTGCCATTCATTTCAGATATACTAACCACAAGCATTTTGGGTTTAGTGGCTCGTTCGTCTGGTAGCTGACCTTCTTTGGTTTGGTATGTTTTCAGAACATCAGACCTGTATATAGGAATTACAGATTATTTATACAATTATAATATGGTTGAATAAAATTGTGCAATTTGATTGGTTTAGAGGAGTGGTATTTATCCTTAATAGTGGTATTTCAAGTTGCACAATTTTATTCAACCATTTTATAAACAAATAATAGCATATTATGTACGTGGAATTTGGGATAAATACCACTTGTGATATTTCAAAATTGTCACAACTTTTTTTTGACAATTTTGAAATATCACCCCAAGTGCTATTTATCCCAAATACCACTACAAAACATGCTATTACCTATACTAAATACCACTACAAAACATGCTATTACCTATACTAAATACCACTACAAAACATGCTATTACCTATACTCTAATAGTGGTAAACAGACGGAATTATTGRATTATAGCTCTCCTACCTGTGGCTTTTGATAAACATCAATAGCTGTAGAATGGCAATGAAAGAAGCAATAAATGTAGCTGCCAAATAGTAATCTGTGGAAAGATGAATAGCCATTCAAGTCAGGATGAGATTACATTTAGGGTTAACTCAAAAGGTTGTTTAAAGGAGTATAAAGCCTGGTTTTCGGAACGTTTAAGACCCGATGTCTTATTTAAACTGATATTGATGATTGTTACAACCTAATTCAGTGGATACTAACCAAGTAAAGTCATCGATATGATGTTGCTTGGGTATTTACTAGTCTCAAACATTTTCTTGAGAGCTGTTATTAACGTGGCAAATACAATAGTTAACTGCAAGAAAAGTCACATTCAGTGTTCTAGGTTTTCACTTACGATCGCTTTGGCCTTTGTTTGTATCACTTTCAATTTAAAAAAACTTGTAAGAATGAACTGAAGAGCTTCCATGAGACCTCGTCGGCATCGGACCATTGCTGCCGAGTAGAGTGCAAAGAGAGAGAGTACAGGCTAGCACGCAGTCTACCTTCACAAAGTATTGTGACTATACGGATAACGGACACATGATAAAGATCCTAGATAATGTCTACATTATATACATACATGTGTAAAAATATCACCTGATAAACGAGGATGAGGGACACAATCACTGCAGAAAGAAATTGCGTCGAAAACTTAAAATCTGGAAACGCAAAATATAAAAAGCTCATTAAAAATACAGCTCATTAAAAGAAACTAGATTTTTCCAGCCTGAACAGGTTCTTATAAATTGTGCTTAACTTGAAAGCAGGTTCTTATTGGTAATTTAAAGAATACTTRTATTGRTKRGCGTGGTATATCAAAGAATTAACACATTTTCATGATAGCTACATGGTGTATAATAGACTTATAAGCACAGTGTTAGTGGTCTAAACTTGTGTTGAAGAAACAACACAGTGTACTACTGTACCTGACCAACACGACAAGAATGCTTCTAAAATTTTAGGGTTTTTTTATACGCGAGATGTTTTACTTCTTTTCGAAAGATCGCTACTGGTCATTATCTATGTGACAAAATTATACTTTACCTGAACGAGTTTCGTAAAGTTTTCGTCTCACAGTGACATACCAAGGTTCGTGTTGCACTTGGACTCTGCCACGGAAATACATGTATACATTGATCGTTCAATACTTATTGAAAACAGAAAAACATGTTTTGTCTACNGATATGGTGTCAATAGAAATATTCATCTAGAATGAACAATGGGTGGTCTACAATGGGTGATCAAGTAATATAAAGATGCTATAACGATAGCCAACTTATAACAAAAGTAATATTTAGATCTATTCAACTTGAGAATATCCGACGGTTTTTTCCGACACCATAACATATCAAGCCATGCAGGATATTTGGTGTGAATGCAAAGACAGAACACTGACGGAACAGTATGCACGTTCCGAGCACGTTCCGGGATATTCCGAACACGTTCCGGGGTGTTCCGGGGCGTATTTCGGCGCTGGTCTATGTTTGGAGAACACGAGAAAAGCATCGCGAACCACGACAAGCGGATCACTATAGTGTGCGACTAGTGGTGTACATACTTACATCTTGTTGAGTTTGCAATGAGCAGCCCAAGTAAATCACCAAGTGAACAGTGCACCTGAATAGAAACAAACACCAACACTGTTCCATACATGGAGGACATGTTATATATTAGTCGACCTTGCCTAAGGATCATAGGAAAAAAACTACACCTATATTCAACTGTAAAACAATGGATTGTATTTCCAAAGTGGGCAAAATAATTTGTTTGTCCTCCAGATCAAACTGCTTTGAGGTCACATGCGAGCTCTTCTATGCTCCAAGGTTACACAACTTATGACTTATGACCTAATTAACCCTAGAAAGTTCTAGACACCTATAGTGTTGACCATAACCAACTTACCTAATTAAGGTGTAAAGAAGACCCATGATGTAACCAATCAAACTGTACTCGGCGTTAAGACAGGCAAAATATGGATAGTTGATGATTCCATATATTGTAGTCGCTAAAACCCCTTTAAAAGCTGCAAAATACATCAATAACTGATGTGTATCATGYGGGTCGCATGAATAACTTATAAATGTCTGTCACGTATCTTTCCTTTTTACTGGTATCGTTTTTGTACCTTTTCCGTACGGAGTATTTGGAATATTCTTGACGATAGCGAAATCACTTATATTCAAAAAGGATTCGTAAAATATTACGAAAAATGAAGATGTTGTAGCACCAAAAGCAAGTACAATAATCAACCTGTTCCTCTCTTTTCCCAGGAAGTTGACTGGTCTGCAATAAAGAACGACGCATTAGGGGTTTACCTATGTACACTTTAGACATCATCAAAATCTGGTATTATCCTTACATGGGTAGTCCAGGTCGACCATTCCACAGGTCTGGTCTTAATCGCACTCTTTTCTTCATGAAACTCAACACAACCATGATTAGCATCTGAAACAAACTGGTAATATTAAGAACCATGTAATGGGGTAGTCGATGACGTGTCTGTGTGTGTGCATAACCCCCTATCACCACTCACTTCTTCTCTGCATCACATCCATTCAAAATAAACAAACTCAAACTCAAAGTAACCCCCCTCCCCTCCCCCTCCCCAACCCAGGACAGGGTGGGGATGTGTGGGGCATTTAAAAAATGGACTTGGCAAATGTGAAATTTATAAGTGAAATAAAATGCCATTTTGAATGAAATTCTTTGTTTTCTATAGCAATACAAAACAAAATTATCTTTAAACAAGTAATTGAATAAATTTGAGTCAATATCATAGCGAATAGTTTTTATTGCAAATTTTTTAACATAATGGACAGAACTATGGTGGGTCATGGTGCATTTTAAGAGTTTCCAGACCATTTCTAATTATTTGACCAGTCCAACCTAATGCCCCACTATGCTCCCACTATATTAAAACTCTCGTAAAATATTCACTTNCCGTGCTTTACTTAATTTTACAGCCATGTGATAGTGGAAACCACTCGTTTTGTGAGGTTCTTTACTGCACACCCATTGAGTGACAATGTTTGCTTTGTCGCTGGTCTTTACGAAGGCTTCAACGACCACTTGGGCAAACTCTTCTCTGCTTCCTACAATAGTTGAGTCGGCTTGACTGTACGTTAATAAGTATACTGTACGCACTTGACGGGAATGCAAGCTCGGTGGGTTTTCCTCTGATATTTCTGCAACAGTTTCTGAAATATCGGCCGCGAATTCATTGCCATCAACGCCACTGTTATTGTTTGTATTACTTTGTGCAAATTCATTCGACATTGAAGACATTTAGAGTTAATCGTTGTGTTATTCTAGCCGCTTAGAAGTTGTAACCGTTTTTATAGGATATGTAATATAGCGGCTAACGAATGCTAATTATAGACATACAAGTAGATTGTAGACTTGATAAGTCATGTCATTGACAGATATATAGACGCCTAACATTTTCATTCTGTTGTTCTAATTCCTTGTCAAAAATCAACGTTTCAATTAAGAGTACTTGTGCGTTTAATGGTAATAACACTCTCCTAGGGTTTAAGTCATTGCTTTAACTATAATTTTTCCCATTTGAAGTAATTATATTTAACCATACAATCAATTTGTTAGCGTGACTATGATGTCTTAGTGTCAACGATTAACACGATTTTTTCTAAGTGCCTAATTGCATTATCTGCGCATGATCAACATTTCTCCCGGGGACTCAGACAGCTCTCGACAAAAATATTCGAACATCTAGCTGCCATATTATCCCCCCATCCCTGTTTCAAAGTTGGTTCTCATCTTGTCAGCCAGGGCTTCTTTTTGAGAATCTCAACTTTGTAACAGGGGAGTGGGGATGTTCACAAACATTTTGTCGAGAGCTGTAGATAACTATAGTATTACCAACTTACCTAATTAAGGTGTAAAGAAGACCCATGATGTAACCAATCAAACTGTATTCGGCGTTAAGACAGGCAAAATATGGATAGTTGATGATTCCATATATTGTAGTCGCTAAAACCCCTTTAAAAGCTGCACAATACATCAATAAATCACATAGGTTTCCAAGAATAACTTATAAAGGTCTCTCACACTTCATTTGTATCTTCTCTTGGTACAGGTATCATTTTTGTACCTTTTCCATATGGTGTACTTGGAATACTCTTGACGATAACAAAATCACTTTCATAAAAAAAGGAATCGTAAAATACTACGAAAAATGAAGATGTTGTAGCACCAAAAGCAAGTACAACAATCAATCTGTTCCTCTCTTTTCCCAGGAAGTTGACTGGTCTGCAATACAGAACGATGTATTAGGGATTCACCTCATGCACACTTTAACCATCACAAAAATCTGGTATCATCCTTACATGGGTAATCCAGGTCGACCATTCCATAGGTCAGGTCTTAATTGCACTCTTTTCTTCATGAAACTCAACACAACCATGATTAGCATCTAAAAAAAAACTGGCAATAAGAACCATGTAATATTATAGGGTAGATGATGATGTGTCTGTGTGTGTGCATAACCACCTAACAACACTCACTTCTTCTCTGCAGATCACATCCATTCAAAATAAACAACAACAAAACCGATGTCCGCAGAGTAACCCTTCCTTGATTACCATTTTAATTTTCCAGACTGAGTCCTCCTGATATAAAGTGATATTCACAAGACTTTACAATACTCACCGCAGGTGCTAGCATCCCCACAGCGTAAGAATATTCATCAACTAAACATCTTGAAATGAGAAAACATTACATACAAAAACCTCTAATATATTTCCCACAAAAAGTGAATACTGCATTACATGAAGTGTTGACATTTCGGAAAAACCGATTGATGATAATTTTTACGGTTAACTTGCGTTACCGATTTTGATCATGTGACATTTAAGACTTATCATTAAAAACATATAGTCTCTTGACGACGGTCCGAATGGACTGAACTATTTATAATTTCAACAATTAATACGCTTGAAAACGAACGAAATAATTTGATTGACGGAAGTGTCAAAACACATGTAAATGGTAGCTACGGTAACCATAGAGACGCTGTATGCTATATGCTGATATCGACGTTTTGTAGACATTAACTTTAAACCTCAGATATCTTGAGGACGAGGTCTGATATATTGTGCATCAAAACATGAAAATCTTTCTACATTCCTAGTAGCATGTCTGTGTGCCGTATTCTAGTATTCTATTCTACAATCGACATCGTATTTTCTGATCTTTCAAAGCTCCCATACGCGACGGCACGACATGACGTTCTGTCATAGTTAGTACTATAACTATGGTTCTGTATTGCGAGACCCAGCCAGTCTGTGTGAATTGTAAATTTTAGTCTAGTTTTATTGTGTACTGTCGGCTATTTATTTGTTTAAGATCGGAGACTGCTCAAGATTATCAGTAATATATACAATATGAGCGGGCAATCTGTATGAGGATTTAAAACAGCGAGCTGAAAGCGAGCTGTTTTAAATCCTCATACAGATCACACGCGAATATTGTATATTACTTTATTAAAGTAAATTACTTTATTAAAGTAAATTAGCTCAGGTTTTAAAGAAACTTTTGAAAAAAAATTCAATCTGACTGAGAAAATCAGAGTTAAAGTTTATGCAAATGAACAAGAAATCTGTATGTAATATACAACTCTCTTCATGGGCTATGATTTCTATTGTGTTTTGCCTTATGAATATTAATGAGTTTTATAAATCCTCATATAGATCGCACGCGAATATTGTATATTACTTATGAAACGTTAAGGTAAATTAGCTCAGGTTTTAAAGAAACTTTTGAAAAAAATTCAANTGACTAGTGCTTAACCCTTCCTAATCTGCCCCTGCCAAACTTGAAACTTGAACTGACCTGAACCCCTCCATGTAGCAATCCTGGATTACTATTTTAATTTTCAAAACTGTGTCCTCCTATTAAAGTGATATTCACAAGACTTTACAATACTCACCGCACATACTAGCATCCCTACAGTGTAAGAGTATCCATCCACTAAACATCTTGAAATGAGAAATCATTGTATTCAAAGACTTCTATGGTTTCACAAAAAGTGATGACTAAATTACAGAAATGTCAAAACACATGTATTCAGAAATGATGGCCAACCCATAGAGACACTGAACTCGATTGATCGTCTTTCTCAAGCTCATGTAACAGTGTAAGAATTCGGTATTTTTTGTTAAATGGTCTCACACAAAACAACTGACTAGACTGAAGACTTGGCTCTACAGGGGGAAAAGTATTCTCTGTTTCCCGTAGCCTAGTTTTCAATTCTTTTGTTCATGTTTGTTTTGTCAACTAAAGATCAAGAGTCATGATGTCAAGATGATGTAAGCTATGGCCTGATATATGCTGCATCAAAATGAAAATCTTTTTAAACATTCCCAGCAGCATGCTTGTGTATCAAATGTATGCTAGGACTTTATGCAGAGCAAATTCCATGAAGCGGAAGAGACAAAGCTGTCATCCGCGACGACACGAAATACATTCTGCATTACGAGGCCCACTCGACAAGTAGTATGTGGAAATTATAGTCTAAAGTTTGCTACCCTATTTGTTTGTGTAAGATCGGAGATGAATCGACTGGCCAAGATTTTTAAATCTGATATAGTATTGTCGATAAAGCAACAAATCTCTGAGACAATGAACTTTGTAGACCCCTATAGACCGGAAACTCCTCACTAGTGAACAAAAAAGCCTTTGTAGAATATTTGTATCTAATTACTTAAAACTACTTACTGAACTCTAGAGCTCGAGAGATAATACAAAGCATTTGGAAGGCTGCTTATACTTACTTCTCAGACATTTTGAAGACCTGATGTTCTCTCCTCTCTCTTCTTGATTGCTTGTAATTAAAAACAAACAAAGAGCTTTCTACTACAACGAAATGCAGTATCAGTCGACCCGAAGAAAGACTGCACTGTCAAGAGCAGTATCAAACGACCCAAAGAAAGACTGCACTGTCAAGAGATTTTCTCAGAAAAACCGGAAGAGGATTTGGTCAGCATACCATGACAAACTCTGTTCGTACGAGGGATCCTCCTTGGCTTGGCTGCACAGCAACAAAAGGCGCAGGGTACCCAATCATACGCTGGAAAAAATCGCGCGCTTTAAAGGTTGTAAATTTGATGTAAATATTATGTAAGTGTCCAAAATGATGTAAATTTGATATTTAAGCATCAAATTTACATCACATCATCTTGGACACTTACACAATATTTACATCAAATTTACAACCTTTAAAGCGCGCGATTTTTTCCAGTGTGTATAGATACATAGTATATATACAGTATCGCTAGCTTAAAAGGTGTGAGTGGAACAGCTTTCTGAATGAAGATAGGATTTCAGGAGGCTTCGCAAAACAAAATGCTAAGCTCATAGTTAAAAGAAGTTTTTCTAGGAGTGTCCATGTCTTTGGCGTTTCCACAGACGCTTCTATTTTAGATTTCTTCAGTCGTCTCTTCAGTAGCAGACTCTTTGTTTTCAATTATAAAACTCATTAATATTCATAAGGCAAAACACAATAGAAATCATAGCCCATGAAGAGAGTTGTATATTACATACAGATTTCTTGTTCATTTGCATAAACTTTAACTCTGATTTTCTCGGTCAGATTGATTTTTTTTTCAAAAGTTTCTTTAAAACCTGAGCTAGTTTACCTCAACGTTTCATAAGTAATATACAATATTCG